GTTCTCCAGTTTACCAATGTCCTTATTAAACCATGGTACCCAGAACTGAACACAATAATCCAGATATAGTCTGACCAACAGAGTGGAATACGGAAAGACTTTGTATTCATCCTCCTTGTTCCTGGAAGCTATGCCTCTCAATGTAGCTCAATACTGTGTGCTGTTGTTCCTACTTACTTATAAGAGTTTGCAGCCTACTAAAACCTTGAGATATTTCTTAGACATACTGCCATTTAACCATGTCTCTCCCATCCTGTACTTGTGAAGGTGATTTATTGAATGTAAGTGTATGAATTTACATTTCTTCCTACTGAATTTAATCTTATTGGATTCAGTTCAATAATCTAGCTCAGTTATGTCAAACTTAAATAGAGTCATGGGCCACTAATCTGCATATATGGATCCTTAGGGTTGCATATTGACTTAGTTTTAAAATGCAAAGTTATCTCTCTTTTATTTTCATCTTCCATTTATTTTGTTAAACATTTCCTAATTGTATTTTAATCTGGTTCTGGCCACACTTGTTAATATTGTGACGCCTGTCGTTGCACGTTTGACACCTTTGCTCTAACCTAGTAAGATCTTTTGGGATCTTGACATTGTTATCTACTGTATTAGCTATCCCTCCCAATTTTGTATCACTTGAGTATTTAAAGAGCTTGCCATCCAAGACCTTGATAAAAATCTTAAATAGAACAAGTCCAGGCACAGATACACAAATGATAATTCCAGTTTTGAGTCCATTTACCTGCATTATTATCTAGCTTAAATCTTTGCATCGCTTTCCATAGGAATAGTATGAAATACTTTATTAATTATTTTGCTAGTCTATATAGTCTACTTTGCTATATAGTCTAGGCAGACTATATTTTCAGCATTCCTCTGAATGGCTTGCTTAGTAACTTTGTAAAAAAATAAAGGTTTTTGCAATGATATATTCTTGATTAAGCTATGATGGTACTTTGTAGTTACTGATTTCTTGAATAGACTTTCATTAACCATCTCTTTAAAGATCCATTCTAAAATTTCTCAAGGAACCAAAGTCAAACTCATTGCCTCACTGTTCTCTTCCATTTTAAATGAGGGCATTTATCCCTCGCTAAGCTGATATCCCTTCCATTTTTCATGATTTTTTATATAATAAATTAGATCACAGACAGTAACTTAGTAATCACACCTGCTAGCTCTTTAAGTATTTGGAGATGTAATTCTTCTGGGCCTAATGTACTTGAATTCATTGAGGGAGGAGTGGGAAGAGATGCTAGAGTATTTGACTTCACCTAAACCATATGACCCTGAGCAAATCACTTAACCTCTCTCAGTCTGTTACCTTATGTGGAAAATGGGGATAATAGCCCTACACTTCAGAATGCTATTTTGAGGATCAAATGAGAAAGTGTATGCAAACTTTAAAGTGCTATATTGGCTATTATCTCTTTATTTTTATTCTTTCAATCCAAAAGTCATTTTCCTTAAGAGGGGGGAAAAAGGAAACAAAGAGTGGAGCACCTCAGCTTTCTCTGTTGTTAGTTATCAGTATTCCATGCACTCCAAGTCATGGTCCTATCCCTTCTCTTATCTTCTTTATTTCCTGAAATAGAGCTTTTATAGTATTTCTATTATCCTTGGTTTCCCTCATCAGCCTCATCTCACTCTGAGATTTAGCATTGCTCACACTGTTCTACAGGACTTTGCTGTGCTTTTACATTCATCATGTCACCAATTTTTCCTTCCATCTTCTCTACCTAACTTTATAAAATCTAAGTTTCTTGGGGAGTTCTCTGTGTATACATACAAACTTCATTAGACAAGTCCCATTGTTCCTCCTCACTGCAACTGTCCTTTCCTAACTGCAACATGTTAAAGAGGAATGGTCACTCCCCACAAGATTTCCATCACTTAAACTTTTTGTTTAGCTTTTAAAGTCCTTTGCAATCTAATCTCAATCTATTTTTCTAGCTTCAATGAACATTCTTCCTCTCCTCTCAACCCTCCCATCCCACATCTGTGCTCAAGACAAACTGGCCTCTCTGTTCTTCACCCATCGCACACCACCTTCAGCCTTCTCTGCTGTTCTTCACCCATGACACTCCTCTGCAGTATTGCTATCTCTTATTTTTGCATTGGCTTTCCTCCAGTCTGAAATGAACTCCTTCTTTATCTCAACCTCCTAGACTTCCCAACTTCTTCAAGACATCCCTTAAATAACAACTACTACTTGACTCCTCAAACTGTTAGCACTTTCTCCTCCCAAACTATTTTGTACTTGTTTGTATTTATTTTCTCTTTTTTCTGTATATCTTATGGTCTTCCCCTTTAAAACATAAGCTCCTTATTAGCAGGCTTTTCCCCCTTCATTTTCTATACTTGTATCCACAGTGCCCATCACAAAGGCGCTGAATAAACGCTTGTTGCTTGACTTATTGATTACAAATCAGGAACTAGTTCTTCCCTATTTAAGAGAATCAGTTCATCAGAGGATTGCACTTTTTTGGTTCCTCCACCTTTGAAGGATGACATTATCATTAAGACAAATCTAGAAATTATTAGCTATTCTGCTTTCTCCACATGAGGACATCGAACAAATATCGAGATAAATGAAATTTCTCATCATTACTATATCATGTTTCAGTGCTAGGCTTGTGATTTCTTTCTTACATTTCCCATCCATTACCTTTTTGTGCCCAAGTGGTTTAAAGCAGGTTCTTAAGCTTTTTTCCATTCGCAATGCCTTTTTGGGTTTCAGCATCATTCAATGGCACTGCATGGCCTGAGAGCAGGCAAAGTGCACATGCTTTGTATTCAGAACCAAGGCTGCAATGAAGTTGCCCAATGCACCACGGGCAAGAGCTGCTACAAACATCTCAGATTCATTAAGTGTGTGATTTTTAATTAATTTTTGGTCGTTGCATGTTCAGAAGCCTTATACTGTTGCCAAATTTTTCGCGACCCCATATGGGGTAATGACCCACAGTTTAAGATGCACTGCAAGCATACACAGTACTTTTAATGATATTTCTTTGAGAATTCTGCCAGGATGCAAAGCCAATAGCTTGCAAACTTCATTATCTTTTTCTTTTTTCCAAAAACCAGCACATTTACTTTACCCCTTTATTTCTGCTGCTCTATGTTCATTTCATGGTGATTTTCTGTTTGTGGAGGAAATCTGGAGAGTCTGGAAATTTCTGACCTACTCTTCCATCTTCCCAGAATGTATCCACCTCTTCCTTTCACAGTTGAGAAAATGGAGGCTCAGGGACTTATATAAGTCACTTATATAAGAAGTGACTTATATAAAGTTTTACAGGTATTAAGAATCAGAGGTAAAACTTTAGCTTAGCTCCTCTGACTCCAGTCTGTGCTCTTACCACTGCACCAAGCTACCTTGATGATGTGCATGATCCTTTATACTTTTCTTCATCATTAAGGAGAGAACTATATATAGTGGACATACAGTTAATTTCCATTGAATTACACACATTTAGAACTGGAAAGGTAGTGACATATCCATTCCAATTCACTTATTCTTTTCTTAACCAATAGAAATAAAGCTCAGAGAGATAAAGTATGTTGCCAAAAGTCACACAACTAAGAAACAGAGACAGGATTAAAATTAAGGTCTCTTGGCTATTAGAGCAATATTGACTGACCTGATTAATGGGATGGAGTCACTTAGTATAAGCTAATTATTTTCTTTATTTAAGAATTCCATAAAGTATATTCAAGTCAAAATTAGTAAGTAAAATGGTATCTAGATTTCACAAGTATGAAAATGAATTACACTTCTTGTCAGAAAACCAATTTTTGTCAAACTTTCATATATTATTACCTCTGATCAAATTATGATCAAAATATAGAGACTGTTAAAACAAACTAATAATTAACATTAAAATAACTAAAACCAAACAAAATAACTAAACTGAGTCACTGTCCTGAATTTGATTAATATGTATAGATACAGCTCTTGGCAAAACATCTTCTGAGGCGCTGGTAAGCCAAAGGAAAAGTGTAAGACAGTGGGCTAGGGCAGGGCCTTTTCAAAAAATTCATAACTTAAAATATTTATGTCAATGGATACATCACATGTTATTATTATTATTATTTACTAATACAAATGGTAATTTTTAATAAATAGTAAAAATGACTATCTACTGAGTGTTCTTGGTCCATAAAATCCAGTCTATGCCCTCAGAATATATATCCTAAAAAAAAGAATACCCTAACCTTAAGAAGGAAGGTCAGAAGAAACCTCAGAGACAGGTGACAAAGAGATTTGGCCAAAGAACCAGAAGAATAGCCCTAAAAGTTCTAAATATTTTGATCTCTGGAAGGGAAATAGTCCTTTGGAGTTATAGTATCCTTGGAAGAACAGCAGGTTAAAAGGCTCTTAAAAATCAGAAATCATTATATATGAGCATGATTATAGATATCTAAGTATATGTATGTGTATGTAAGTGTATGTATGTACACGTATATGTATATATCTTTGTGTGTATGTGTATATATATGTATGTATGTGGTGTGTGTGTGTGTGTGTTGTGTGTGTGTATCTATGCTTAATTGTAGCCTTCTTGGGGGAGAGGGGAAGGAAGGGAGAAAAAAGAACAAAGTAAAAACTACACAGCAGAGAACAAAAGAAAACTTACAAAGAAGCACAGAAAAGATCTCTGAACACAATGCATAGTATTTATTATTTAGACCTTCTCGAAATGGAAATTTATTGCTGTATATTTTGAATCTTCTCCTATGTTCTGCTGTGCACATGGCAATGCTTTTGTTTTCCTTTTCTTATTTTGTATTTAAGTTTTAATATTTAAGTTTATAATGTTTCTTTTTCTTTTCTTATTGTGTATTTCAGTTTTAGTATTTAAGTTTAAAATAAACCAACAAAAAATAACCAAAATAAATCAGAAAACAAATGCTCAGTCCAACCTTAAATAATACTTTCCCATTATTTCATTTCATCTAGTACTATGTAGGGACAGGGTAAATGGACATACCATTCTCAATCTCATAGTCAGCAAAGGCAAGTTCTGAACCTTTATTGGTAATCAACAGTTCCCCATTCAGAGTGAAGATCATTGATGCATCATCTAAGTTAATCATACAGCCAACCACATCCCCTGGTTGCCAATTGCGCCCAAAATATCCACTCCCCTGATGCCAGCGCTGGCCCTAGGGAAAAAATAAATGAACAGGTATGAGGAAAATAAGTTACTCAGCACTACTCCTGTGGTTGGTGAAATGCCCAGACCAATAATATTTATTCTTGATGAGTATTGGTACATGCTTTCTATTGGACACTCAATTTTCTACAGAGCAGAAACTGAGGGGAAAATGAGCTACATGACAGCCAATAGGTACAATGACACTTGGTCTGAGAGGAGGGACCCAGTTCCCTGGACTCTCAGTCTGCTATAATAATGAAAAGACTACACTTCCCTTTTGTGGATGTTTATGATGCTTCTGTAATATGTTCTTTCACTAAAGCTGGGCCTAGGATGGAGGGGAAGTCAAAGCTACAGTGTAAAAGCTGATGCTATAGTCAGTGTGGGGCTCTGTCATACACCTAATATATGCAACAAAGGAATCATAACCTCTTTGATCTCTAGTGTAAGTGTGTGACATAGTTAGTACTAAGAAACATTTAGTCCGCAAACCACAGCATCTAGTCCTTAAACCACAGGTATCTAAATCTTCAATCATTTAAGTTTCTATGAAGTAGTTATGTATTTCTGAGGAAGAGCACCTAAATTAAGGAAGTGCAGATAGTGCCAGTAAATTGACTCACCTTGCTGCCTTCAAATACAAAAGCTTGATCATCTGCCCCTAGCTCAATATCCGGCCGACAGCCTGGCCTGGCCCAGCCAACACGCATATCTCCTCCTGTCACCACTTCAAATTCAAAATACCACTTTCCAGATTTCACTGCATAAGACTGTTCCACTCGGAAAAATCGTATCTTGTCCACACTGACTTTTTCCATAGTTTGGTCAGCTAGTGAAAATCAAAGAAAGAAACAGGGCAAGGCACAAAGGCCCTTAATCATTAGGTGGTATTTCCTCTAACAATAAATACTGTCGTGACACAACCACAGAATCCTGCTCTTTCACCTCCCAAAACAATTTAAAATTAATTTATCTATAATACCTCCTGGTATTACGGGGATGACCATAACATAGTGGTACTCATCAGCACTGTTGCACATTTAAAAATATTCCTAGAATTATATTTGTGGATTAGCAAAAGTAGTCAGTCACCAAATAAGCTTAAGTCCAAATGAATGAGATCTAAGAAAAATAAAATTAGCCTGGACTTACTAAAGCTTCCTCCTCAATTTCTCCCAAAACAGTGTCTAGCATATAGTCAGTGCTGAATAAACGCTTTTTCTTTCATTTCAATTCCCTGAAAAGATCTAGTCATAAGAAAATACATTGTAACATTAAAGTACTTATCATATAGTAATCTATTTCATATTAAGTATTCTTTCCAACCATGTTTTGATACAATAAAATTTTTCTATAGTAACACATTTAGCTACTATAAATCTACTCGTGATCCTTATTGTTCTGTCTTTTTTCAAATGTCAACTCAACAAAATTTTATTAAGTGCATACTACCTGCCAGGCATTGTGCCGGGCATCGGGCATATGAGGACAGAAATGAAATTGCCTCTGATCTAAAGAAGGTTACATTTTATTGTGTGTGTGTAAACACATACATACATACATATGACATTCTGAAGAATACACTAACCACATTAACTTATATGTTAGACCTAAACATATAACCATACGTTATATGGTTTGGCATTTATTTCTTTAAAAAAGCAGTTCCTCATATTGGGGCTAGGATGAATACTCTGATCTCAAAATACCTAATTCTTGGTCTGAAGGCTCAACATTATACCCATAACCAATAAATGTTCGAACTGCTTCACGAAGACTGTCTCTGTTTGACTTCTTTGTACGTTCATCTAGTAATGCATATGGTACCAAACGAGGATTCCTTTTATTCTTCAGATCCTAGATGAAGCCATAAGGAAAGTAATGCAGAAAATTCATAGTTAACTTTTATGCATAGGAAGTTACGTACATACACACACACACACACACACACACACACACACACACACACACACCCCATATATACTCTCCTAGCCACAACTTGGCCTCCCAGAAGGCTCATGTAAAGCTGTCAATTTTCAAATGGTTGTCAATAGAATTTCTTAGGTTTTCAAAGAAAGCATTTATTTGAAAATTTACTCCAGGCTAACATTTACTGATGTCAAAAATTTGCATTAAAAAAGTTGTATTTACTTGAGTCAAGCAATGAAATGAAGTGATACAAAATTATTTGCAACTTGCTATGCCCAAAGCAGGGTGAATGTAGTTTCAAATAACTTTCATTTTAAAATAAAAACTCATTCCCTGTCTTAAATTGTGATAGCTTACTTGCTTACAATTCCTTAACACATACTTGGGTTCAACAAAGAGGTGCACCGGTAAAGTGGCCACAAATGGTGCATTTCAGTGCACTCAGTACATGACTTTACTCCGTTTTCCTCCAACTCTGTAGAAGAAAGGGATGATGCAGAAAGATGGTGACAACTACTGTGCAGTGTCAAACCACTACGGAATGGCATGTGCTCTATCATGTTTTGAACTGTCATAGATCCCATGGCTATATTCCTTCTCCATTGCACATCTATAGGATATTAGAGGCATAGGTGAAAATTCATACATTTCAATGATGAGAAAAGAGATTAGAGAGAAGCTTCAAGGAGGGTGTGTCAGCCTTTAGGGAAGCAGGCAAATTCATCTGTTTTTCTACTCATATGCTAAGAGATTCATGTATGGAGGATCAAGAGATAGAGGAAGGAAAGAAGAACAGAGGGGGATGAACTAGTGCTCTGGATTTAGCTGCTTTTCTTCAGAGTGGTGTCTTATTCCATTGAATCAACCTCCCCATCTTCTATGTTTTTATAGTGTATGAGCCCTATCAGTCAGCTCCAGAAATACTCTAGCTACATGCCTCTGGTTTGATTTGAACATCTACCCAATCTTAGTATGGATAATAAAAAGGAAGTAGCTAACGGCAAATATTCCATGGTGCAACAAGATATGAAGAATGATAACATGCTCTCAGGGCAAAACACACTAAACATAAATCAGACATAACTAAGACAAAAAATAAAAATATTAACTTTTTAGGAAATTCACATTAGAATTGTGCCTGGAACCAATGACAAGGTGACCATCAAAGGCTCTCTTCAACCTTATAATCCTATGAATGATGAATTAACTCAGCTATGACATTTTAATAGATATTCAACTTTTTCAAATAGAGCTGGATCTTCATTTCCTTTGCTAGAGTCTCATCCAGATCATGCCTTCTAACATAGGTGTCCCATGTTCTCTTCTGGGCCCTCATCTCTTCCCCTCTATACTACTTAATTTGGTGAAGTATCCATCAGATCCCATAGATTTAATTACCATCTTTGTACTGATGATTATCAATTGTACATATCGTAATAACCTTTTTGCTTATCTCCAATCTTACACGTACACCTGCCTTTTCAATATGTTAAACTACATTTCCATTTTAAACTCAACATGTTTAAAATGGAACTTATTTTTCCCCCAAACCTTATTTCCCATTTTACTTCCCTATTACTGTTGAAGGCAACACCATCCTAGTCCCTCAGGCTCACAACTTAGGTGTCATACTTAACTCCTTAATACTGCTCATACTCTCACCACCTTCCATATCTAATCTGTTGCCAAGGCCTATTGATTTCATCTTTGCAACATCTCTTGAATATGTCTCTTCTCTGACACTGCCATCACTCTGGTTCAGGCCCTCAACAGGTCACACAGGACTATTACAATATCCTGCTGGTAGGCCTGTCTATCAAATTTCTCCCCACTCTTACCTATCTTCCATTCAGCCACTAGTCATTTTCCTAAAGCACGGGTCTGACCATGTCAACTACCCTACCCCACTCCACCCCTGCTGCAACCACTCTATAAACTCTAGTGACTCTCTATTGCCTCTAGGTTCAAATACCAAATTCTCTGGCATTCAAAGCCCTTCATAACCTAGCTCCCTTCTACTGCTGGCTACTTTCTCTGGCTGTCCCCCATGCCTGGAATGCTCTCCCTTTTTATCTTCACCTACTGACTTTCCAAGCTTGCACCAAGTCCCAACTAAAATTCCATCTTCTACAGGAAGCCTTTCCTCACCCCTCTTAATTCCAGTGCTTTCTTTCTTTCTTTTAATTATTTCCTATTTATACTATATATAGCTTGTTTGTATATGTTTATCTGCTTGTTATCTCCCCCATTAGATTGTTCTGTGTGAGGGCAGGAACTATCTTTTACCTCTTTTTTTATCCCCAATATTTAGCAACAGTGACTAGCACAATGCTTAAAGTTTGCCAACTACTGACTTCTCACCTGTTGGATGCCATAGGTCCATCCTTGTTTTATTCTGTCTTTTGCCCAAACATTGTGTGCGTTCTCTGCAAGTTTATCAACCAAAATTTCTTGAGGAGGTAACAGCTTCACATCAGACAGATCCAAAGGGGCAGGCTTATAGCCATTTGACATCATGTAGCTACAAGTCAAGGTAAATGCAAAAACAAAAACAGCAGAATTATGAATATTTTGAATAGACTTACATGGCTCTCCAGATTCAATCTGTGACTAGTCAGCTCATGATTACAGCACTGTGCTAGTACGGCCAAAATCACAGGCTCCATTTTGGTACAGGATAAGTAGCTTTGCTACATGCATACTGAGGTCATATGCTGTTCACCTAACTGCCCAGGCATATCATAAATTTGTCACAAAGGAAAGGGAAAAGAAGGAATATGAATGAGTCAGGCTAAAAACATTCCTACGATTGGAAACAACAACTATTCAAAAGTTCAAGCTTTAATGATGATGGTAAGCCAATCTTTACATACCCCAGGTGGCATTATTATTGAAAAATTTATATCCAATGTCAAAAAATAACAGATTTCAGAAAAAACCTGTCAAGGGACTAATTGAGTCAGTATTAAGTAATCAATAATAAGTCAATGTTACTGAGCACAGAATGTTCATATGATTTCAAACAGCTACTGCCTCCTTTATCAGTTATCTTATTACTCCAGTAACTAAAACTGATGTAGTCAAAGAATTTTAGAACTGAAGAGGGATTAAATATCATTTAGTTCAACCTCTTTATTTCATAGATTAAGAAATTGAGGTGAAGTTCAAACAAATTAAAAAAAATAAGTGATCTTGTGGGAAAGGTACTATACTAGCCACTGGGAGTACAAAGATGAACAAAAAAAGATAGTTCAAGGTAAAGCCTCAGAAGGGTAAGAATTCAATTCTCCTTAGACCTTGACCAATACTCTATTTACATGGTAACTTTTGGACAGGAAGCCATGAAGAGCCTGCTGGAGAAAGGAACCATGACTTGAGCCCAAAGCTGAGTCACAATGAATGTAACATTAGAAAGAACTGGTGTCAGTCTTCGGTAGTAAAAATTAGGCCCTGAATGAAACTTCAATTCCAATTCCTCACTTCCAATCCCAATTCCAATCTAGCACAGAGGTAAGGAAGGTCTGAAAGCTCTGGAGTTATATGGGTAAGGGAGAGTATTAAGAAGAATTTCATAGAATTTGGCACAGGAATGAAGTTGCTTATGCTCACAGTCTATAATTAAAGATCATACCCAGGTATGTATTTTATGTGTGTCTAAGTGTTTAGGAATGTGAATCTGTGTGACAGGAGGTAAACAGTGAATACATAAATTCAATGGGCCAAACTGAATGTTAGAAGACTTAACCATATGCAGAAGGTATTTGTGAAGCTGGACTAGCACCCAGAAAAGTGGTTATTTAGTATGGCTATTAACCATTTTCAAGGCACCATTGCCAAATGGAATTTTTACAAGCCAAACCAAACATTCTGATCTGGAATGCCTGCTCCCCCTGGTTAAAAATCAAGGACAAAGGAAAATATGCTGATGTGAGAAAGGAATGGGAAGGAAGGAAAGTCTTGGAGCACTTCTTAGAAAATAACTTCTTGAAAGTTATAACATAGCCAAATTCATTGAAGTCAACCCAATAAGCTATTGGACCTACTATTGTAGCTGATACCTATCTGCATTATCAGCTTCCCTAATGTTTTCTTCCCATGTCACTGGTCTTAAAATGCAGGTTACAACCAAAGAATTGAGGTATTTAAAAACCACCTACTTTTTGGGAAGTTTTACTTTCTTGAGATCTTCCTCAGCAGCCAGATTAGCATGAACAATGTGACATCCCAGGGCTAGAAGGGTTCTGTGACATTTAAAAACATATGCAATGAATAGAAGTAAATAAAGAAGAAGATGATAATATATTAGTTATACTCCTACCTGCATATCAGATAAATTACCTGCCTGCTACATATTACTATACTTTTACTGGGCATTTTATTCTTTTCTCTTTATATTCTCTTTCTCTTGGTGATCTCATCACCTACCATGAGTTCAAGTATCTATAGGCAGATGATTTCCAAATATACATCTATGTATATACATACACATGTACATGTGGTCATAACTTATTAATGGGTTATGCTACAAATGTTCATATATGTATGTATGAAGTATGTATATAAGAACAATCCACAAGTGTACATTTAAGCACATGCACACAACATACACATATGTATACAACTACATACACGGGTGCACACATATACATATATATTGTGTGTATGTTTGTGTATATATGTGTGTATGCATACACATATATATATATTCACACATGAATGATCTCTCCTCACTCCCCATATCTCTCTTCTTAGCTCTAGTCCTATACCATCAACTGACATGTCCACCACCTAGATGTCTTGTGGGCATCTCAAACTCAACATCCCCAAAATTGAACTAGGGGCAGCTAGGTGGTACAGTGGATAGAGCTCCAGCCTTGGAGTCAGGAGGACCTGAGCTCAAATCCGACTTCAGACACTTGACACTTACTAGCTGTGTGACCCTGGGCAAGTCACTAAAGCCCGATTGCCTCACCACAAAAGCCAACAAGCCAAAATACTCCTAATTTCTTTTTTTTCTGTCAAGGGTACCAACATTCTTCCAGTTACCCAGGATTGCAATCTCAGAGTTAGCCTCATTCTTTCTCACCCCAGCTGGCAAGTGTACTTTCACATGTACTCTTAACATTTGTCCTATTCTCTCCTCTCACATATTCAACATCCTAGTTTCAGGTCCTCATCATTTTTTCTGTTATTAGAAACCTTCCTAATTGGTCTCTTTACCTACAGTCTCTCCCTTCCCTAATACTTCCTCCAAATTGATAGTTCTAATAAGTTTAAGCATGTCAGTTCAAGAAGCTTCAATAGCTTCCTATTGCCTCTAGGATAATATCCAAGCTCTTTTTTTGGGGGGGCAAGCCATTCACAACAAGGTTCCAACTTATCTTTAAAATGTTTTCATATTACTTTTTGGGATATAGTAAGCACTAAAAGCATGCTGACTCTTAACCAAGGCACTCTATATTCTAGCCAAACCAGCCTACTTTCTATTCCCTGTATATGACATTCCATCTGCTTCTGTGTCTTTGCACAGGCTATTCCTTATTCCCGTGGAATACTCTCCCTTTTAACCTATAACTCTTAAAACTTCTAGCTCCCTTTCAAATCTCAGCTCAAGTGCCATCTCTTACACCAATCATTTCCTGATTATCCAAAATCATTAGTACTTTCTTTTATGTCTCCCCAGAAAAAATTACTTTGTTTCATTTTGCATATATTTTGTACTTAGTTATCTGTGTGTGTATTGTTACCCCCTCCCCAGAAGAATATACCTCCTTGAGGATAGGAACTATTTCATTTTTGTCACTGATTACCCAGCATCTAGCATACTACTTTGGAAATATAGACATTGAATTGTTGAATTGAAAATATGACTATACTCAACATTATACTGGTACCTCAACATATCACACACTAAGTTCCTTCCCATTAAACCAGCTCCTTCTGATCTCACTATTTCTTTCTCTAGTATGACTATTGACTCATGTTCCTATAACACTAGAGATATCTTAGGCTCTTCTCTTTTCTTTGCCTTTAATAGCCATTCAATCAACTGATGGCTCCTGTCAATTCCACCTATGTTGACTCTTACATTTAGTCCAGTTCAGATTCTTATGACCAGCTGCCTAGTCTACCACAGTAGCCTACTTACTAGTTTACCTACCTCTACTGTTTCTCTTCTCCAAACCATGCTTCACATTGTTGCCAGAACAGTATGGTTTTTTGAATAGATCTTGTAACTTCTCTTCTCAAATATTTTCAGGGACTCCCTATTGCTACCATGAGGGACTGGTTGTGTAGCAGGGACCTTATAAATGAAAGGAGTTTTAGAAGAGAGGGCTAAGTCTAGGCCGAAGGTACTAGGGAAGATTTCACAGAGGAAATAGGACTTGAGCTGAACAGTGTAAGATATGGAGGAATTTGAGTTACAAAAAATTACCTTGTACACTATTTAAGGCAATTTATAACCTGACACCACATCACCTTTCCAGCCTTATCTCGTATTTCTCTTTTCTATGTGGTCTAAAGCCAAATGGGCCAACTCTATGGTTCCTTAATCTATAATGAACTCTCATACCTTTCTGCCTTTGTGTGTCTAATATACCTGGAATTGCCTCCGACTCTTTATTTTTACTTGTCAAATGCCTACTTCTTTTTTAAAACCCAACTAAAATACTAAACATATACCAACTAAAAGAATAAATTACTTAATGAGTTGTTTTATTTTTCGCTTTTTTTAATTTAGTATTTTATTTTTTCCAGTTACATGTAAAAACAATTTTTAACTTTCATTTTTAAAGCTCTGAGTTCCAAATTCTCTGCCTTCCTCCCACTCCCACTCCCCTCATTGAGAAGGCAAAAAATTCGATATAGATTGTACATATGCAGTCATGCAAAATACTTCCACAATAGTCCTGTTGTGAAAGAAACATAGACAAAAAAAAAACCAAAAATAAACCTCATGAAAAATTTTCATCATTTATCAGTTAGGGAATGGCTCTCATTTTTATAAATTTGACTCAGTTTTCTGTTTGAGAAATGAGGCCTTTATCAAAGAAATTTGTTTCAAAATTTTTTTTCTCAGTTACTACTGCTAACTGCATTTTCCTCCATCCTATTCCTCCTCTGTTTATTCTATTCCATCTCTCCTTTTACCTTGTCCCTCCTCAAAAGTGTTTTGCTTCTGACTACCCCCTCCTCCAATCTGCCCTCCTTTCTATGACCACTCCCTTTCTCTTATCCCCTCCCCCTCTACTTTCCTGTTGGGTAAGATAGATTTCAACACCCAACTGAGTGTGTATTCCTTCTTCAAGCCAATTCTGATGAGAGTAAGGTTTACTCACTCCCCCTCATCTCCTTTCCCCTCTTCTCTTCCACTTTTTCTTGCTTTTTTTGCCTCTTTTATGTGAGATAATTTATCCCATTCTACCTTTCCCTTTCTCTTTCTCCCAGTACATTCCTCTCTCACCTATTAATTTCATTTTTTTAGATATCATCCCTTCATATTCAACTCACACCTGTACCCTCTATCTATATGTACTCCTAACTACCCTAATAACGAGAAAGGTCTTAGGAGTTAAAAATATCTTCTTCCCATGTAGGAATACAAACAGTTTAATTAAGTCCCTATGATTTCCCTTTCTTGTTTACCTTTTTATGCTTCTCTTGAGTCTTTTATTTGAAAGTCAAATTGTCTATTCAGCTCTGGTCTTTTTATCAAGAAATCTTGACATTCCTCTAATTCATTGTATACTCATTTTTTCCCCTCATGGGTTACATTCAGTTTTGCTGGGTAGGTAATTCTTGGTTGTAATCCTAGCTCCTTTGTCCTCTGGAATATCATATTCCAAGCCTTCTAATCCTTTAATGTAGAAGCTGCTAAATCTTATATTGTCCTGATTGTGGCTCTACTATACTTGAATTGTTTCTTTCTGGCTGCTTGCAATATTTTCTCTTTGACCTGGGAACTCTGGAATTTAGCTATGATATTCCTGGCAGTTTTCATTTCGGGATCTCTTTCAGGAGGTGATCAGTGGATTCTTTCAATTGCTATTTTACTTTCTGGTTCTAGACCATCAGGGCAGTTTTCCTTGATAATTTCTTGAAAGATGATGTCCAGGCTCGTTTTTTAATCATGACTTTCAGATAGTCCAATAATTTTTAAAAGATGTCTCCTGGATCTATTTTCCAGATCAGTTGTTTTTCCAATGAGATGTTTCACATTGTCTTCTACTTTTTTTCATTCTTTTGGTTTTGTTTTATTGTTTTTTGATTTCCCAAAGAGTCATTAGCTTCCATTTGCTCCATTCTAATTTTTAGGGAATTATTTTCTTCACTGAGGATTTGTACCTCCTCTTCCATTTGACCAATTTTGCTTTTTAAGGCACTCTTCTCCTCATTGGCTTTTTGGACCTCTTTTACCATTTGGCCTAGTCTGTTTTTTAAGGTGCTACTTTCTTCAGTATTTTTTTGTGTCTCCTTTACCAAGCTATTGACTCATTTTTCGTGATTTCTTGCATTACTCTCATTTTTCTTCCCAATTTTTCCTCTACTTCTCTTACTTGATTTTCAAAATCTTTTTTGAGCTCTTCCAAGGCCTGAGACCAATTCACATTTTTCTTGGAGGCTTTGGATGTTGGAGCTTTGATTCCATTGTCTTCTTCTGAGCGTGTGTTTTCATCTTCCTTGTCACCATGGTAACTTTCTATAGTCAGAGGTTTTTTTTTTCTTTCTCTGTTGCTTGCCCATTTTCCCAGCCTATTACTTAACCTTTTAACTCTTTGTTAAGGTAGGGCTCTTCTTCCAGGATGGAGGGTGCACTGTCTCAAGCTTCAGGGGTTTTGTGAAGCTATTTTCAGAGACACTTCTAGGGACCTGTAAATTTTCAATTCTTCCAAGGTGGTATGATCTAAGGAGAGGTGTTTACTACTCTCCTGGCCTGTGCTCTGGTCTTGTGAGTGACCACAAGACTCTTTTCTGTCCTGGAATTGTGAGGAGGGTCCCCCCTCCATTGTGGCCATAAGCTCTAGTGTGCTAATGCTTCTCCTAGCCCTGGGATTGCCACCCAGGACTGTGACCTGGATCCAAGTATGGGCAAAGCAATATAGTCCTGCCCCAATGCTAGCAAAAAGACCTCTATAATCTCCTTCTGACCAATTGTTTGACCACCTTGTAGTCTGTGGGCTGAGAAAGTAGCCGCTGCTGTTGCTGATTCAGTCTCTCCCAAGGCCTGCCCCTGGTTTGCTGGGACCAGGGCTATGCCGGCAGGGCCTTAGTTGGACTGTTCTCCACTCTCACCAAAATGTGACAGACTTTTCCTGCTGATATTCTAAGTTGTCTTTGGCATCTATGGGCTGAGATGTATAGAAACCACCACTGCTGACAGTGTTACAGTTGGCCTGATGTCTGCTCCAGGTTTGTTGGGGCCAGGTCAGCGCTGGTGCTGCCTGAGCTGGACTGCACTCCTCTCTCAACCTGGTGCAACAGACCTTTCCTGCCGACCTTCCAAACTGTCTTGGGCTGGAAATTTGTTTGACTCAATCTTTTTATGGGCTCTGCCGCTCTATAATTTGCTTAGAGTCATTTTTTAAAGGTATTTGAAGGGGTAAGTTGCAGCCTTTACTCTGCCATCTTGGCTCTGCCCGGGGAACTGTTTTCTAATCCTCAACTGGCAACCATCTTTCCCCTCATAACTCACACAGCAGTTAAATTTTTTTTGAATTTACTATTAATATTATGTATTATCTGTTTTGGTGTCATAGGAACTACTGAGACTGTTAGCTCAAGGCCAAGGATCTTGTCTTATTGAGACATAAGTCTCCCACACACATGATTTTACACACAACTGGCACTTAATAAATGATTGTTGATTAGTTGAAAGTGACAGTCACTAACAAAATATTGATAACTTATATTTTGGAGTAGTTATGGTCCTGATGACTCAAACACCAGGTATGTAGTGAGTATTTACTATGTGCCAGGACTGTAGTAATCTCTTTGATCTATAAAAGAGTCTGCAATCATGAATCAAGTATTACAAAAGACATTGTAACATATGCCCACTTATATATAGTAAAAAATTAAGCACTAAATTATACATTACAGACAAGTGGAAATCAGAAGAATACACAGTGATATACTTGTTGGATAGAAGAGATATTAAGTACAAACAGAATTAGAGAAGAGAGAACTAAGCCTGTGCTGGAGTCATTAGGGAAGATGCCACTGTCAAATAGGGCTTGAGCTGCACTGTGAAAGGTAAGAAAAATATAGATAGGTAGAGGAGATTAAGTAATGTAATGTTTGTGTTTGTGAGGTTTTTGTAAAGTGCATCATATTTTCTATGGACTTTCAAATTTGGAAATGTTTCATTTCCCTTTTTGATTAATCTCCAGAAACAAATGGGTGGTTTCCTAATACTTTTCTTACTACCTTCTAACTTTCACCATAAACAATCTAATTTAAGAAATATGCATTAAGCATTATTATGTCCTGGGCATACAAAGAGGAGACATCAATATTCCCTGTCCTTAAGCAATTGTTATGCACCTACCATGTGCCAAGCACTGGACTAAAGTGCTGAGGGACATGAAGAAAGGCAAAAAACAAAAAACAAAAAAACCCAAAACCAAAACTCCACCAAGGTCTGCTGTCAAGGAGCTTACTGTCTAAAGGGGGAGACAACAAATAAACAACTCTGTACAAACAAGATGTATACAGGATAAATTGGAAATAATGAACAGAGAGACTAATCAAGAGAGGTACACAAATAACTATGATATTAGTTAAAATGTGGTAAATACACAAGAAAATGTCAAATGGAGGAAAAAAGAGATTGAAGAGGGATAGCTCTCTTCTAACTGAGCAAGGGGAGCAGTGAAGTTTTCATGTGGAAGTGGCATGAGTTGAATCTTGAGAATTTTTAAGAGATGGAGTTTGCAGGTGGTAGGAGGGAGGAGGAGAAATTTCAGATATCAGCAATGAAAATATATGGCAGTGGGAGTGGGTGAGCTGAATAAGTCAGGTGGAGTGCAGTTTCTCTGGAACACCGAGTGAAAGGCAGCAATGTGAAGTAAGGCTGAAAAGCTAAGCGGACATTTGATTGTCAGGTGCCTTAATTGCTAATATAAGGAGTTTTTTTATTTTATTCTGTAGTTCATGGGGAACCCTTGAAAGACTTTGAGAAGGGAGATAATTGATTAGAAACATTTGGCAGTGGTTTGAAGGATACTAGATAGAAGTTGGACTAAAATAGGAACATCATCTAGTTAGAAGGATACAGTTTATAGTGAAAGGTAATCAAAGTCTGAATTAGTAGATACACAAGTAGACAGTAGGTGAGGAAAACAGGAGATGGATGTGTCAGATGGATTCATAAGGACTTTGTTCTCTGAAACTGGAGAAACTGCTAGTTAAAAGGGCCTAAAGTAGAATGTCCTATATTATAAATTATCATCTTTACCTTCCCCGTACCCTTAATTCCTCAATATATGTTTTTTTTAGAATGGTATCTATATACCCATAATACTAAACTACATGTTACTAAATTATTCACATTTGTGAAATCTTAATTCAACTTAGTTTTAAACTCACTTTAAAGTTTCTGTTGACATTTGCAGGTTATAATTCTTCTCAGTTTCAGGTAGCTTTGAGAATTCCACAAGACAGGGGTGTTGCCTTTTGTTGTCATCCCGCATCTATATGACACCATTAAAATATAACAATTTGAGTTATAAGAGTCAATTACATCTTGGCAAAAGTTTAAAAAAAGATAAAGGGTAAAATATATATCATAAATCCTGAGTGAGGTTATCTGGTGATAGCTAAGTGATATTCTCTCTCATCTTCTTTGACTCTTTCCTGTCCCTCACCACACAGATCAAATCAGTTGTCATGTTCTGTTGATTGTGCCTTCACAACATCTCTTACAGCTGTCCCCTTCTATCAAGTCATTTTTCCAACAAGCTATTTCAGGTCTACATCACTTCTTATCTACTGTAATAGTCTCACTGGTCTCTACAATTCATTCTTTATGTAATTGCCAAAGTAATATGCCTAAGACAAAGATCTGACCCTAATTAAAAAAAACTTTTATTTAATTCCTGTTGTTTCTAGGATGAAGTATGAACTCCTTGGCCTGTATTTAAGGTCCTTCACAATCTGGTTGAAACTTATCTTTCCAGACTTATTTCACATTACTCTCCTTCAGATACATTACATTCCACCCCAAATGGAGTGCCCTAAACTTTGTGTTAGCTTTTACATTGACTTATTATCTAGTTTTCCTTCAAAACATTCCCTCCAGCCTCAATTTAGGTGCTACATTCTCTGTAAAGTGCTCTCTAATTGTGTCAGGGGCAAGTGCTTTTTTCATCAAATTTTGCAATAATATTTCAATGGATTTGGGGGGGGAAGAATTTCCAATCCATTCTACCACATATTACACATGCATAACCCCCCAGATTATAAAGAAAGGGGCTTGTATCATTTTATATGTTTAAATCCACAGTGCCTTTTGCAAATAGATACTTTATATTTGTGGAATTGAAGAATAAATGGTCAGCAGCTTATCTCTAGATTGTGCTCCAAATGTTCAACTTTAAGTTGCTTGTTTGGAATTCGGAATGAATTTTATTTTTCCAAAGAAACGGGCTCTCAGGCCAGCTAAAGAAATCTAACTTTGAGGGGACCATATAGCACTGATGATAGTCCAACTAGACTTGGAGTTAAGCAGAGCTAGGTTCAGATTCCTCCTCCAAGATTTGCTGTCCAAGGGAAAAATCACTGAAGCTCCCTGAGCATTAGTTTTCTTATTTGAACAATAGGGTAAATAACCCTACATTAGATAAGTCATTTGATAGTGGTGAGGATCAAATGATCATGTATATAAAGTGTTTTGTAAACCTTAAAATGTTATTTAAATGTTAATTATTATTATTTAACCTATAATATACCTAAAATGTACTCCACCAAATTCTACTCTGATGCCTCACTATAACACAGTGATAACATGCTCAATGCTTTGCCAGTAGAACATAAGCATTGAAAGATCCTATAAAACTAGAAACTTTCTGAGTATAGAAATGATAACAGACTATGTCTGTCATCCAATGACCAGCCTAGTAAAGTATGGAGAGGCTGGTCACCAACAAAAAGTAGCCTCTGACTGATTTTTTGATTGTACTCCCAAGCACTCCCAAGATCATGTACTAAGATTCAGGGTGGAGGGTGGAGCTAAGATCATGGAGTAAAGGCAGGGACTTGCCTGAGCTCTCCCCTCCAAGTAAGATTAAAATAACCCTTAAAATGAATTCTGAAGCAACAGAATCAACTAATGGATGAGGTGAAACAATTTTCTAGCCCAAGACAACTTGGAAGGTTGGCAGGAAAGTACTACCTCACTGGGATGAGAGTGGAACACAGTCCAGTATAGGGCCCCAGCAAGACAGGAGTAGACCTTGGGGGTGACTGAATCAGTGGCAGCTTTCAGAGCTCTCAGCCCAGACAGTAAGGCATGTCAGACAACTTGTCAGGAGATTACAGGAGACCCTTTGCTGGCCCTGGGAACATTGCCCATAGACAGATTCAGGTCAATGTCCCAGGATGAGAAGGAGCTCTAGAATGAGCAAGGACCCTGAACACAGTTCCTGGTAGAAAAGAGCGCTTGTGATTGCTCACAGACAATAGCACAGACCAGGAGAGCAATGATCACATGTCTCCTTAGATTATACCACCTTGGAAGAACCAAAAACCTCCGGACCCCCAGCAACTATTTCTAAAAACAGCAATACAAAAAACAAGAAACAAGAAACTTGGGACAGTGCTCTCTCCAACCCAAGAGCAGAACTCAACTTTTAATACAAAGTCAAAAGTCAAGAAATAGGCTGGGAAAAGGAGCAAACACAAAAGGAACCTGACAAAAGAAAGTTACTATGTTGACAGGGAAAATCAAAACACAAACTCAGAGGAAGACAACAAAATTAAAGAAGCTACATGCAAAAGCCTCAAAGAAAAATGTGAATTGGTCACAGGCCAAAAAAAAATTTCCTAGAATAGCTCAAAAAGGATTTTAAAAATCAAATAAGAGAGGTTGTTGTTGTTTGTCCTTCAATCTTAAAGAGGACTACGATGTTACAGAGGTGATGCCATGACATGCAAATGAATTGGATTTAAGTGAGGGAGGGCTGTGCTAAGTCACTAGCCTCACTTTCTCCTCCAAAGCCATCTGGGTCCAGTGGCCAGATATGAATCAGGAAAACTGGGGAAGGCCCAGGATGCAGTGGGGGTCCTTGGCCTTTTCAAGCTAAGGTTTTGTTTTTTTTTTTAACAGGTCTCAGTTTTACTAGGGCAATGCCAATTCAGTGAGTAAGGCTTAATGAGAAATGAGGGAGAAAATAGCCTTTTCACCTAGTCTTAAAAAAAAAAGTCAATCTGGGAGGAGAATATACTCAGGATTTCTGGCCAAAACAGAAACAATTGTTATTTACATTCATCCTAGGCCAATCAGAGCCCAAATGATCAAGTAGGGGTTAGCCAGGGACCTATTGTTGGCCAATCAATAAGAGCCAGAGTGATTTGGGGTTAAGGCTGGTCTTTAAGGAAAAAAAAAAGTTTCAGAGAGGGAAAACTGTGGAAAGAAATGAGTTATGCAAGAAAATTATGAAAAAAGAGTCAATAGCTTGGGAAAAGAGACACAAAAAATATTGAAGAAAATAACACCTTAGAAAACAAAATAGGTCAAATAGTAAAAGAAAAACAAAAATTCACTGAAGAGAAGAACTCTTTAAAAGAACAGAATTGACCAAACATAAAAAGATTTACAAAAATTCACTGAAAAAAAGAACTCCTTAAAAAGTAAAACTGACCAAATGGAAAAGGAGGTACAGAAATTCACTAAAGGAATTAATTCCTTAAAAATTAGAATTGGGCAAATGGAAACTAATGACTCTCTGTGAAAGATCAAGAAACAATATAACAAAATCAAAAGAATGAAAAAATACAAGAAAATGTGGAATATATCATTGGAAAAACAACTGACCCAGAAAACAGACTCAGGATACATAGTTTAAGTATTATTAGACTACCTGAAAGTCAGATCAAAAAGAGAGGCTGGACATCATATTTCAAGAAATTATCAAGCAAAACTGCCACAGTATCTAAGATCCATAGGAGGAAATAGAAATTGAAGTAATCCACCAATCACCTCCTCCAAAATGAACATTCTTAGGAATATTATAGCCAAATTCCTGACTTCCTAGGTCAAGGACAAAATATTGCAAGCTTCTAGAGAGAAACAATTCAAATGTCAGGCTGCCACAGTCAGGAACACACAGGATTTAGCAGCTTCCAAATTAAAGGAGCAGAGGGTCTGGAATGTGATATTCCAGTAGGCAAAGGAGCTAGGATTACAACTAAGAATCACTTACTCAGCAAAACTGAGTATCATTCTTCAGGGGGAAAAATGGATATTTAATGAAATGGAGGACTTTCAAGAATTCCTAATGAAAAGACCAGAACTGAATAGAACATTTGACTTTCAAATACAAGACTCAAGAGAAGCATAAAAAGTAAACAGTAAAGAGAAATCATAAGGGATTAAATAAGGTTAAATTGTTTATATTCCTACATGGGAAGATGGTGCTTACAACTCCTAAGAGCTTTGTATTAGAACAGTTAGAAGGAGTATATATAGATAGAGGACAGGGGTGTGAGTTGACTATGATGAGATGATATCCAAAAAAATAAAATTAAGGGGTGAGAAAGAGGCATGCATTAGAAGAAGGGGGAAGGGAAAGGTAGAATCTCACGTGAAAGAGGAGAAGATGGGAAGGGATGGCAGGCAATGCTTGAACCTTACTTTCATTGGAAATAGCTCAAAAAGATAATAATATACACACTGAATTGGGTATAAAATCTATCTTACTCTACAAGGGAGAGAAAGAAAAGAAGGTGGAGGTGGTTGATAGAAGGACAAATTGTAGAAGGTGGTAGTCAGAAGTAAATCACTTTTGAGGAGGAATAGGGTGAAACAAGAGAGAAGGAAAAAAGATAAATGGGTAAAATATAGGATGGAGGGAAATAGTTGTCCTTTGTTCTCAAAGAGGACCAAAATGACATCACTATGGTGGAGTCAAGGTACAGAGTATCCAACTGTGGATCAGACCAATGTGAGCTTGGAAGGCTCTACCAGAGGCTGGGCACAAATAATCCACATGAACATTTGGAGTAGAAATGTCCCTAAATATGTGCATTTCACATTAATTTTGAGCTACTGCAATTTTGCTTCGCTCGTAGAGCACAACGCCTTCTTTGACACAAGCACACCATGATGAGCGGTCCTATGCCAGTGTTTCCCATGTTATGCAATTGTCTCTGAAGTTCTTCAGAGAGATTCTGAAAGTGTTCTTGTATCATTTCTTCTGACCGTCATGTGAGCAACCCAGTTAGTAATCACAGCTGTGAATGTGAATGGGATGAACTCACTCATAAAACAGAAGTGGATAGCAGAGTGGATTACGTGATTTAGACAAAATGATACCATAAGCAAATTAGAGGATCATGGAATAGTTACCTTTCAGATCTATGGATAAGAGAAGAATTTATGACCAGACAAGAGACAGCATTACAGGACATAAAACTGATAATTTTGATTACATTAGGTTAAAAAAAAATTGCACAAACAAAATCAATGCAGCCAAAATTAGAAGGAAAACAGAAAACTGGGGAATTTTTTTTCACAGCAAGTTTCTCTGATAAAAGCTTCATTTCTCAAATATATAGAGAAATCAGTCAAATTTATGAAAAGATAAGTCATTCCCCAGTTGATAAATGGTCAAAGGATATGGATAGTCAATTTTCAGAAAAAGAAATCAAAGCTATCTATAGTCATATGATAAATGCTCTAAATCACTATTTATTGAGAAAGGCAAATTAAAACAACTCTAATATACTACCTCACACCTATTTATCAGACTGGCTAATATGACAGAAAAGGAAAATGATAAATGTTGGAAAGGTTTTGGAAAAATTGGGACACCAAAGCATTGTTGGTGGAGTTATGAACTGATCCAACCATTCTGGAGAGCATTTTGGATCTATGTCCAAAGGGCTATAAAACTATGCATACTTTTTGACCCAGCAATACTACTACTTGGCCTGTATCCCAAAGAAATTAAAAAAAGAAAAAGGACCTAGAGGTGCAAAAACATTTATAGCAGCTCATTTTGTGGTGACAAAGAATTAGAAATTGAGGGGATGTCCATCAATTGGGGAATAGCTAAACAAACTGTGGTATATAATTGTGATGGAATACTATTGTGCTACAAGTAATGATGAGCAGGATACTCTCAGAAAAACATAGGAAGACTTATATGAACTGATGCAAGTGAAGTGAGCAGAACCATTGTAACCAGTAACAGTAATACTGTATGATAATTAACTGTGAATGACTTAGCTATTCCCAGCAATACAATGATCTAAGAGAGTTGCAAAGGACTTACAATGAAAAAACTGATGTAGTTTGAATGCAAATTGAAGCATACTTTTTTTTTACTTTGTTTTCTTATGCTTTGTTTTTCTTAGGTTTTTGAGGTTATTTGGTTTGTGTTTTCTTTCATAACATGTCTAATACAGAAATATGTTTTGTGTAATTGCATATGTATCACGTATATAAAATGGCTTGCCTTATCAATTAGGGGAAAGGGGAGGGAGGAAGAGAGTGTGGGACTCAATTTTTTTTTTAAATGTGAAAGTTATTTTTACATGTAATTGGAAAAAAAATATTAAACTGAAAAGGAGATAAAATCCTATATAATGTAAACCATAAAGAACCTGGGGAGAGGGAGCCACTTCTTTCTGGCTCTTTTTACCAAATGACCTAATAAACAACAAAAAAAATGCAGAGGAAATAGTCATGTGCTCAAACCACATATCCTAAAAGCACTAAAATATCTAACATAAAATTATGTAAAAACAGTACTACAGAATCAACCCTTCAATATTCAATATTTCTGTAGAAAAATGCATTGGCATATCTCAGAGATAACTGCATCTGCAAGTTACTGGTAGCACTTCTCTTGCCCTGCAGTAGAGTCTCCAGCAAGATGGGGTGAAGGTGTAGTCCAGGTCAATTTGTCTCCCCACCCTTCCTCTTCTGAGGGCCTAGGAACGAGCATGGCTTTCGCTGAAAACACATACTATTTCTTATCAGGTTTTCTCTTCTTTTCTATGCCAATAGAGAGCAGAATTCAGTTTCCTGTCTTAGAAACAAACACACTGTCCTTCTGAGGTTTTCAAAGTGTTTTATCTGCTAACAATGGAGGTATAAAGTTTTCTTCTGCTATTCTTGATTTAAAATATATTTAAATAAGATTTATCTAAATTCAGATGAAAAGCCAGATACAGGCTATGCATTCATCATAGCACCTACACAGAATTCTGTAGTGGAAAGTAGTTTAGAGCGTTTAATTGATTGTGGAATCTATTATCATACCTATTTAGACTCTAGACTGTGGACGTAGAGAGGGAAGGGACCTCAGAGACTATCTAGTTCAACCTCTAATTTTATAGATGAGGAAACTGAAGTCCAAGATTAGACTGTGAGCTCCTTGAAGGCAGGGACCATCTTTTGCCTCTTTTTGTATCCCCAGCACTTAGTGCAGTGCCTGGAACACATCAGGTGCTTAGTAAAATGTTTACTTATTGACTTGATTTGTCCGAGTTATAAAGTAGTAAGCATGAGTCTGGCTTTGAATTTATATTAGGTGTCCTTCCCAATAGGGGATAAAGGGGTATAGTACTCTGAATGCTGCCCAGAAAATCTAGTTCAAGGGCTGAGGGAGCAAAAGAGTAATAAAGAGACAGAGGAACGGCCATAGGATTTTACTCTCCTCTTCCTCCTTACTGCAGAAAATCCAACTACCGTTGACCCAATCCTGGAATGACAATGAGGAGAGCTGAAAAAATAAGCAACTGGAGCTAGGGAAAAGATCCCAGGAAGTAGTAAGATCTGCAGCAGAATAGGAGAAAGGAAAGGAGGCAGAGAAGCAAATTCTAAGCAGTGGCAGCAGAGAAGTAAAGGAAAAAGACCACCAATTCTCCCCAAGATGTAAGTTAGTTACTATCTTTGCATGGTTCATAAACCAAGATAAATGCTAAATTGCATGAAAATCTTGATGGACTATTCATCAGTGGACATTGCAATAAATTTTAGAGTTCTTGGACTAGTAGTGAGCTTCAGAATTCCTTTAATCTTTCAGATATGACCTACTATAAACTTCCTTCCAAATTAATCAATCTCTTTATTAACTTTTTACCTTTGAATCTTCTTTAAAAAGTTTTCTAGAGAAGGAGATTCTATAGGTTCATTTAGTCATCTATTTATCTTACCAGATTATCCGAAAACTATAACTAAACTTCTAAAAAGTGTAATTTCCCTCTCTGTAGTTTTTAATAATAGTAACAACTCAAATTCATATAGTGCTTTAAGGTTTGCAAAGTGCTTTTCATATTGAGTAGGTGCTATTATTCTCCACATTTTACAGATTTGGGAAGTGAGGCTCAGAGAAGGTAAATGAATCACACAGCTAGGAATTATCAGAGACTGAATTTGAAGTCAGGTCTCGCCAACTCCAAGTTCAATGTTTTCTTTACTACATTATTACTTTGGCAGAACACTTAAGAGTAAAATTCTCCAAAATCACTATTTTAGTGCATATTAACAAATAACATAAGGTTCATTAACAAAAAAAAACCTTCAAGGGGGGCAGACTTCTGCGTTCTTTGCAGTACAATGTGAGAAACACTGCTTTAAGTCTCAAGCCAGATCAAATCATGGATTCTTGAAATATTCATGTATTAAATATGAAGACATTTTGTTCAAGAATCAAGTCAAATATTGGGTGAAATAATCTTTAAAGCCTCTAAAAGAATGAAGATGTAATTCACTTAGTGTAATTATGAGTATGCAGATAAGATGGAGGCTGCTGTTGAACAGAACCAAGGCTAGAGGCCAGAAAGAATGAATAATCAAATTTCTCTTCCGCCTCATCCTATCATTCTTAGAATTTCTCCTTCATGCAGATAAAGCATCTCAACCAACACCTGTAGCCTAAGTCATAGTCATTACATACCTTGCCAAAGGTCCATCCTAGCTCTATTTTATTCATGCCCCATAGCTCATGGATGTTTTCAGCCAGTCTGTCTCTTATCTTTTCTAAATGAGGAGGCAAAACAATCTAAAGGGAATGGAAAGAAATTTTTAAAAAAGTGAGAATTGATTACCATAAATGAATTAACTGTAGGAAATTACAAGTCCTAGCATTTACTATATCCACCATCCCACCTTCCTTATTTAAGCCAAATTTTCATTCCAAGAGTAGATGTAGGCCTTAAGATAGAACAGAGAGAAAACAGTTTATAATGACTATCAAATGAATGAATATATATGAAATTGCTTTGAAACTAAAAGGCAGGGGAGATTAGGGAGGAGTACATAACAGGTATGAGGAATGTTTTGGGAGGATTCACAGAGGAAGGTAGGAGGTGAAATGTCAAGTTTGGGGAATATATAGTAGTTCAGTTTTGTCTGTATTAAAGAGTTATGTGAAGAAAAGTGATGTGAAAGATCATTTCTGTTTACAGAATTTGTAAGCTGCTGACAATCTTCTTTGGCGGAGGAAGTTCCTCCTTCTCAGGAGCTCCCTACACTGATGAAATCACAAGTGTGATGCCCCACACTCCCCAAAGTGTTAATTACCCAGTCTAGTACAAATAGTACAATATTTGGTCCAACAAGTATAGCAGCATTATAAAGTGGTTCCACTGTTACTCTTTGGATTTTGATGTACTTACTCTTCATTAAAAACAGCCACTCTCCTGGATGAATGAATGAAAGGCACTTATTAGACGTTTATATCTACTCAGCATTGTGCTAAGCATATGAAAACTGCACTAAGTTAATGCTGTAATTTGACTCTTAAATGAAAAACTAGGGTTTCTAAGAGTCAGAGGTAAAGAGAAAGTATATTTTTGATGGTGGTAGAGTGGGGTTGTTAGATAAGAAGCCTACTGAACCAAGGAGAAAAGGGACCAAGGTAGAATGTAAGGGTATACTCATAGTTAGGGGGCATAATATGGATGATGAACCATCCAAGAAGAGGGAAAAGGAACACTTATAAAGATAAGAAAAGAACCAAAAGAAATTAGTGTCTTGAAAAAGCAGAGAGGAACATGTATCCAGGAGCAGAGGATGGTTCATGGTATCAAATGCAAAAGAAAGATTGAGCAGGATGAGGACTGGGAAATGACTATTAGATTTAGCATTTAAGAGATAGTTGGTAACTTTAGAGAAAATAATTTCAATTGAGTGACAAAGTTGGAAGCCAGTTTGCAAAGGGCTAAGGAGTGAGTAAGAGGAAGGAAAGTGAACTCATGGACAGATTTTTCAAGTATTTTGGATGTGAAAGGGAAGAAAGATATAGGAAAAGCTTGAGGAGATGGTAGAGTTGAGTGAAGTTTTCTGTTTCTGCTTTTGTTGTTTTTAGGATTAAGTCTTGAACATATCTGAAAGTAACAGGGAAGGAAATAGTAGATAGAAGTTGCAAGTTTGAGGGAGAAGGAGCAATGATTGAAATTATAATCTAGTGGAGGAGACAGAATCAAGGACCCATGCAGAAGGGTTGGCTTTGGTAAGGAGAAGAGCTACATCAATCTCTAACATTGGGCAAAAGAGGACAAGAGAAAAGAATGATGTCAAGGGGTTTTAAGATGAAGAGAATGAGAGAAGAGGAAACTAAAATCATTCCATCTCTCCTTAATCCTCACTCTCCCAAACCTCTTTGTCCTCATCATGAGGAGTGTCCCTTCACTCTTTAGTACTTTCATGCCATTTGTACTGTTCTGATGAAGAGAAATTATGGAAATGGTAATGGAAAATAGAATATTTAGACTCTACATCGAGGACCAGTGGGTTGGGGGGAGGGGTGTAAGAGAAAAGATATATTCAGATCTAGAGAGGATGGCTCGGGATGCACTATTATTAAGAGGAAGCCAGGTCTCAGAGTAGAAGGTACGTGACAGAAAAGACTCCAGAATGAAGGGAAGCTTGTACACTATGAAATGGGACTTCTAGAGGACAGAGTAGAAATGCGTAGAGTTGCAGTGGGACATGGTTTAAGTCCAGGCTTTACCATTTATTATCTGATTGCTATACTTATTTTTACCATTTTTTTGCATTTCTGTTGTCTGAAGTATTTAAAAAACAAATAATTTCTTCAGATCCTATTTTCTTTCTATGACTGTTCCAAAGCCTCTTTTTTCAACTGAATGTTCATTTGTTTTTTTTTTTTTCCCTTCATTAATGGTTGGTCTCAGATTTGCAGGATAGGTCACTTGGTCAATTTGAACTCCTTTGCTCTATGGAAGACGTTATTCTATTCCCTTCTGGTTTCTGGTGGGTATATAATAATTTTGTGTCATTTGAATTTCCTTTTCTTGATATTTAAAGGTTTTTCTCCTGGTCACTTGAAGGATTTATTGTTTGTCTCTGAATTCTTAAATTTAAACACTATATGTCTTGGAGTTTGCAGCATAGGTTTTTTTTCCTTTCTCCTCGAGGTGATGGCTAGATTCTTCCAGCTGGCAATTTGTTTTTTGTGTTTGGAATTTTGGGGCAGTTTTTTTTTGTATTATTTTTTGCCTTATGTTAGTACTTTTTGACTTGTGTTCTCTTGGAGAACTATAATCCTTAAGTTGTCTCTAGGCAACCTGTTGTCAGTATGATTATGTTTTGCTTATATGGAGGTCATGTTTCTTTTAACGGCATTGGTTCTTGATTCTCTTTTTCCAGTTTGTCCTTCACTTCTAATTGTTTTCATTCCCATTCAGTCATTTTCTTTCATTTCTTTGGTGAGATTTGAAGGTTTGGATTCCAATTTTTCCATTCTGCCAATTATTTCTGCTCTAGAGGCCATGAATTTTGCTTTCACAATTCTTACTTCTCTTCCAAACTATTTGGGAAAATCCTGATGTGGTTCCATACTCTCTGGAGAATCAAGAGGGTCCTCCGCCTCATCAAATGTTGATTTTCTTTTGTCATGCAATGTTTTTTTCCTATAGAAATCTGGACTATTTTTTCTGATCTGGAGGCCACACTCCTTTTTGTTATTAATATCTTCCATATTGATTTATCTGTTTATGCTCAAGGTCTTTGAGTTTTCTTCCTCTTGAAATCTTTGGTAATTTCAGTCTTTTTTTTTCTTATATTCCTCCGTTACTCACTTTTTGGCTTCTCCTTTGAGTGTGGATTCTGCGAAGGCTATCTCAAAGCCATCTCATTCTTTTTCCATGCTGGAAAATTCAGTTTGCTAGCCTTAATTTCTGCCCCAAGTTACTTCTTGGAGGATAAAATTAGTCCCAGCTGAAAGCTGGGCTTTTCCCCTTAGGCTTAATGGCATACCAACAGCTTCATACACATGTCCTGTACCAGTTACTGCTGTTTCTCAGTTTTCTCATTGAGCTCTGATATTCCACAGAGCACTGCCACATTGTTGTCCTAGCCTAAGCAAGTTTGTCATCTGGTTTTCTTTTCTTTTTTAAAAAAAGTGAAAAAGTTATATTTCAATCTGCATTAAGATTTCATCACTTCCCTCTCTGGGGGAATGAGGATTAGGGACAGATGGAATGATTTTAATGCAGTGGACAGCATTTTTCATCATGAATCCTTTGGAATTGTTTTGGATCACTGTATTGATCAAAGTAGCCAAGTCTTTCACAGTTGATAATCATCGCAATATTGCTATTACTATGCACAACGATCTCTCAGTTCTTCTCAATTCACTCTGCTCAGTTCTTCTCAATTCACTCTGCATCAGTTCTTACAGGTAGGCCTTACCACATTTTTCTGAAACCACCTCCCTTGTCATTCTTATAGCATAATAGTACTTCATTGCAATCATATCCCACAGCTTGTTCAGCCATTCCACAAATGATGAAACGTCCTCTCAATTTCCAATTCTTTGCAACCATAAAAAAAGCTGCTATAAATATTTTTTGTACATAGAGTTCCTTTTCCTTTTTCTTTGATCTCTTTGGGGCTGAGACCTAGTAGAGGTATTGCTGGATCAAAAAGTATGCACAGTTTTATAGCCCTTTGGACACAGTTTCAAATTGTTCTCCGGAATGGTTGGACCAGTTCCCAACTCGATCAACAGTTTATTATTGTACCTATTTTCTCTCATCTCCTCCAGCATTTGTCATTTCTGCTACGTATGAGGTGGTACCTCAGAGTTGTTTTAATTTGCCTTTCTCTAATCAGTGGTGATTTAGAGCATTTTTTCATATGATTATAGATAACTGTTTTTTTTTTCTGAAAACCGTTCATATCTTTTGACTATTTATCAATTGGATAATGGCTCTTATTTTTCTAAATTTGACTCGGTTCCCTATATATTTGAGAAAAAAAAGCCTTTATCAGAGAAACAATATAAAATTTTTTGATACTGCTTCATTGTTTATGGTATCTTGTAGCAAAATGTAGTTTCCCTGATTATCTCTTTTAATTAGGTCTCTTTCTGCTTTTGCTTTGCCTGAAATCATGACTGCCTTTATGTTTACTTCAGCAGAAGTATAATAAATTTTGCTTCAACTCTTTATTTTAACTCTGTGTGTTTCTTTTTCAAGTGTGTGTCTTGTTAACAACATATTGTTAGATTCTAGTTTCTAATCCATTGTGCTATCTGTTTCCATTTTACAGGTAAGCACAACCCATTGACTTTCACAGTAATGATTACTGTGTATTTCCCTCTATCCTATTTTATTCTGTTTATCCTTCTCTCTCTTTTTTTAGCCTGTCCCTCCTGAAAGGTCTGTTTTGTTTCTGTCTACTGCTTCCCTTAATCCATCCTCCCTTTTATCATTCCCCAGCATTTATCCCTTTCCCCTCCTAAGACAGATTTTTATACCCATCTGAGTATGTATATATATTCTTCCCTCTTTGAACCAATTCCAGTGAGAGTAAGGTTCAAGTTTTGCCCACCACTCCCCATTTTCTGTCCACTATAAAAGCTCTTCCTTATATGCCTCTTTTATGTGAGAAAATTTTCCCCATTCCACACCTTCTTTTCCTCTTCTTCCAGTGCATCTCTCTTTCTCATCTCTTCATTTTTTTGGAGATTATTCTACCACAGTCAACTCACATTCATGCCCTTTGTCTATGTAGACTCCTTCTAACTGCCCTGATGATTATAAAGTTCTAGAGTTACATGTATCATTTTCCCATAAGAGAATGTAAGTAGTTTAATTTCATTGAATTCCTTATGATTTCTCTCTTATGTTTACCATTTTATACTTTTCTTTTAGGCTTCTGTTTGAATGTCAAATTTTCTATTAGCTCTGGTCATTTCATCAGGAATGCTTGAAAGTCCTCTATTTTATTAAATATCCAATTTTTTCCTGAAAGATTATACTAAGTTTGGCTGGGTAGGTGATTCTTGGTTGTAATCCTAGCTCCTTTGCCTTCTGGAGTATCACATTTCAGGCCCCCTAATCCTTTAACATGAAAGTTGCTAAATCTTGTGTGATCCTGACTGTGGCTCCATGATATTTGAATTGTTCTTTCTGGCTGCTTGCAATATTTTATCCTTGACCTGGAAGCTTGGGAGTATTGGGGAGTTTTCATTTTGGGAATTCTTTCAAGAGGTGATAAGTGGATCTTTTTCCTTTTCTATGTCACTCTCTGTATCTAAGATACTATAGCAGTTTTTTCTTGAAATATGGTATCCAGGCTTTTTTTTATTATGGCTTTTAGGAAGTCCAATAATTCTTAAATTATCTCTCAATTTATTTTCTTGGTTAGGTTTTCCCCCCCAATGAGATGTTTCACATTGTCTTTTTTTTTTTTTCCATTTTTTTGGCTTTGTTTCTTGATGTTTCATGGAGCCATTAGCTTCCACTTGCCCAATTTTTATTTTAAGGAGTTCTTTTCTTCAGTGGGCTTTTGTGCCTTTCTTCCATTTGACCAATTCTGCTTCTTAAGGAACTCTTTTTTTTCCCAGTGAATTAATGTGCCTTTTTTTACCATTAGGTCAATTGTGTCTTTTAAGGCATTATTTTCTTCAGTATTTTTTGTGCCTCTAAGCTATCAATTCTCTTTTCCTAATTTTCTCACATCAACCTCATTTCTTTTCCCCATTTTCCCTCTACCATTCTTATCTGTTGCAACTCTTCTAGGAATTCTTGTTGGACTTGGGTCTCATTAGCATTTTTCTCTGAGGCTTTGGTTGTAGCTGTTTTCATACTGTTGTCTTCTTTTGAATGTTCATCTCGGTTTTCTCTACTATTATAGTAGCTTTTTATGGTTAAGGTATTTTTTTTTTATTATTATTTGTTCATTTTCCCAGCCTATTTCTTGACTTTTATCTTTATGTCAAAGTTGGGCTCTATTCACCTGGAGGTGGGAAGGCAGTGTTCTAACCTTCAGGCTGCTGTTTTCAGAGCTTTTTCTGTAGGTCTGAAAGTTTTCAATGTTTCCAAGGTGGTGTGATCCAGGGATAGCTGTGGTTACTGCTCACCTGGTTTGCACTATGTTTACTCAGGAAAGGCCTGTGCTCTCTTGTAGCCATAAGTATTAGAACTCCTTTTGGCCCTGGAACAGTAACCAGATCCCCCTGTTTTCCTAGAGCCACAAACACTCTTGACCTTGGAACTGCATCCAGGGCCTTTTTTCCCTTGTGACCTACAAGAAGTATTCCTTTCTACCCTGGAACTGAGACTCAGAACTGTTTATGGTCATGCCAGTCACATCCAGTGCCATCAAAGGATCCTATATAATCTCTTTCTGACCAACTGACCCACTTCCCCCTCCCACCCTCCTCCTTTACCATCTCTGGACTGATAGTTCTCAAAGTTGCTTCTGTTGTTGCTGCAGCCAACTCCACTGTTGGTGCTACCACACTGCATTCTTTGCTGACACCTACCCAGTGTCCCAGACCTTTTCTGTTGACTCCTAAGTTGTCTTAGGCAGGAAAAATATCTTACTCTGACCTCTTGTTGGGTCCACAGCTCTAAAATTTGATTTGTGGAGTTCTTTTAAAGTTGTTTGGAGGGGAATTTTGAGTTCAGCTGTGCTGCTGCCTGTACTCTGCCATATTGGACCCACCCCTCTGCTGTTTAGTTTTCTAAAGCAATAGAAAGAAGAAAGCAGTACACAGCAGAATTCTGTTGCAAGGCTGTGAGTTGGCTTGTACAACACTGTTGCTGAAGCATGGTAGGGCAATAGGTGCTGAGGGAGTATGTTATGGGCTAGTGATTAGTTCTGTTGTTAGTTTGTTTAACTATTACTTCATTTGGATTCTTAGCATCCGAGACAGTGGAGACAGCTGAGATTGCTTTATCTCATGCACATAATTCCTATTTTGAAGAGGTTTCAAGGATCATGAAGATCAGAGAAAATTTCTAGTTCACCTTGTTGATCACACAAGAAAGTTGAAAAGACACAGAGAAGGGAATTGCAGTGTTATTATTTGTGAGGATTCTCAAGAAAGCCAGTATTAGTGGATCGTAAAGAATGGGGGGAGGAGAAAAGCATAAGAGGAATGGAAATGTATGCAGGGCCAGGTTGTAAATGGCTTTAATAGTCAAACACATAGAGTTTTATATTTGATTATTTGATTTTGGAGTTTGGTTGGTTGTTTCTTGTCCTTTGTTCTCAAAGAGAACCAAAATGACATGACTATATTGGGGTCAAAGTATAGTGTGTCCAACTGTGGCTGATCAGACCAATACAAGCTTGGAAAGCTCTACCACAGGTGGGGCACAAATAATACATATGAACACTAGGATACAGAAGTCTCTAAATTTGCACATCTCACATTTCTTTTGAGCTACTACAATTCTGCTTTGCTCATAGAGCACAGTGCCTTCTGTGATGTAAGCACACCATGTTGGGCAGTTCTTTGCCAGTGTCTTCCGTATCACACAACTGACTTCCAAGTTCTTCAGACAGAATGTGAGAGTGTCTCTTTGAGGTAATAGGGAGCCATTGGAGTTTATTGAGTAAAGTACTGACATGTCAGAACTATGCTTTAGAAAGATTTTGGCAGCTGAAAGGAAGATGGACTAGAGTAGGGTAAGATTTGAGGTAGGGACACCAATATGATAGTTATTGTGTAAGTCTAGGCATTAATGATAAAAACCTTCACCAAAGTGGTGAATGTGGGGGTAGAGAGAAGAAAACTTACATGAGCAATGTTGCAAAAATAGAAAGGTAATATTCTGGAACAGATTGGCTATTTGGGATGTGTGAGAATGAAGAGCTGAGAATGACACTGAGATTGTGAGCCTGTGTGACTGACAGAATGGTAGTACTTTTAATAGCAAAAGGGAATTTCAGAAGAGGGGAGATTTTAGGGGGAGAATAATGAGTTCTGTTAGTTCTGGGTTTCATATTTTGAGTTTTGTCCAAAAAGTAACGCAGGCCTGGAATTCAGGGAAGGGACTATGACTTGTGATATAGATCTTAGATTCATCTGAAATGAGATAATAACTGATCCTAGGAGAGCAAATGTGATCACAAAGAGATTTAGAAAAAGAAAAAAGACTAGGACAAACTTTGAGGGACCGAAAGGAAGATCCAGCAAAAGAGACTGAGAAAGAGTGATCAAACAAGTAGGAGGAGAACCAAGAAAGATCAGTGTCATGAAAACTCAGAGAGGAGAAAGTACATGGGAGATGAGAGTGATCCACAGTGTCAAAGGTTGTAGGGAGGTCAAGAAGGACTAGGATCAAGAGGAGTCCTTATGTAAATGTGACATACACTTAGCTATAGTGTTAGAGACAGTTTATATCATAATGAGCAATATAAATTAAACTTGTTATTTAGTCTCAGATACCAGAGCTTAACAAAGGCTAGAATATGTCCACCCTGGTAGCAAATTCACACTCCTGGGAGTATGAACTCCCCTTACTCTTAGAGATAGTCATTGTCATTCTCTTTAAAGGCATGAAACACTTTCTAGTTATATTTCCCCTTTTAATAACTGGCACAGAAAACTGTACTCCAACTAAATTGATTTATTCCTCCCCTCCACTCAAACATGCCTTGCTTTTCCCTACCTCTATTTCCCAATCTCCATTCCCCAAAACCATGGCAGGTATATATAATAAAAGCACAAATAACACTAATTAATGATAATACATCTTATGATAACAATATGAGCAGAGAAGTCAAAATGTCTGAGATAATTCCCAAACATTACCAGGATTAGAACAAAGATCTTGCCTAGATATATAGATTGCCACCAAATAATTTTAACCTACCTGACTGGTGTCTATAGGGCATGGGATGAAGGAGGCTTGAGAGAGGAACCGTGTAGTGCCCAACAAATCCCTAATTCCTTCAGAATCACGCTTATATTCTTTGACAGGCTCCAAAATCATCTTCTCTTTTGGAAGCAAGGCTTCATAGCAGGGGGCATAACCAGATGGAGGCAAAAACTTAAACTCCCCATGACGTCCACCCAGAAGGAAACGCACTCTGTGTTATTTCAAAAGACAAGACAGAAAATAGTGAAAAGCACCAAGAATATATGAAAGAAAAAACTAAAAATCTGCAAATAACTCTTTGAGTGACAGTCACTAAGGCCATAAATTTCAAGCAACCAAAATTCCAGAACGTACAATAAAATACTAGAGAAATGCATCCTCAATTAGCTGAAAGAGAAAAGAAAAAAGAGGACAGGCAACACAGAAGAGTGGAAGGTGCAACGGATTCAGTCAAAGGACCTGTGGGTTTTGGCTTATGACCTTGGGCAAATCACTTAAACTCTCTGGGCTGAGAAGTTTGGCTGTGAAATTATAGTGATCAATTCTTAACCCAGAGAAAAGTTGAGAAAATTCATCTAGCTTTTAGTAGAAATTAGAGATATAGATAGAGAATATAGGATATACACTATCAGACATATTGATATGCTGGGTCAATTTATTTAACTGCATTTTTTCCCTCTTGGCTCATGGAATATGGGAACACAGGATATTTAGAAACAAAAATGATATAAAGAATTGAAACAAAGTTTGAAGACAAATAAAATTAGTCTGTAATGTAGGATTTTATAAATCATATGACCTTAAATATGACATAGAATTAATATTAATTAATATAATTGGCAACTTAATAGAACAAAAATGACAAAGATTCACCAGATTTTAAAAAACCCTTCTGGGATACAAAAGTTGTACCACAGAAATTATTACATCATTGACAATAATTGTCATGACTGACTTATTCTTAACAACATGAAATTATTGAAACTGTAGTATAGGTTTTCTACAATAGAAAGGTATTATTCACATAGAAATTAAAGAAAAACTGTTGGAAATATGTCTGGAGAAAATTTTAGAAACTTATCCTAAGATTGTGGGCAAGAATAATAAGGTGAAAAAAATTGTTTGGATAACAGTTTTTAATATACTCATTTGATTAAAAAAAAAAGCTCAAATTTGAAGTTATTAGCAAGTGATATGTGTTAAAGTCAAAATGCTGTATGTAATATCTGAATGCCACAACTGAAAGGACCTCTCTATCTCTCAAAGAAGCTGGAATCAAACTAATGAGCATCAATAAAATAACATGGCTCCAAAAATCTGAAAATCAAGGAAGCAAATATTTATTTATTTATTTTTTGTTTTTTGGCTAGTCAATGAGGTTAAGTGACTTGCCCAGGGTCACAGAGCTAGTAGGTGTTATGTGTCTGAGGCTAAATTTGAACTCAGGTCCTCCTGAATCCAGGGCTGGTGCTCTATCTACTGCACCACTTAGCTGCCCCCTGAAGCAAATATTTATTAAGTACCTATATGATAGGCACTGTGATAGGTTCTGGGACCTAAGCCTACCTGCTATTTCCTGGCCCACTCTTTTCAGACCATCACTCCATCCTTTCCCCTTTGGCAATCTAGATGCCACCATAGGTCCTTCGGCTCTGATAGGGAAGTTTTTGCCTTACCTTGCAAGGGCCCAGACCTCAACACTTCTCTGTGGCTCTAAGCCATGGCTTCTCTACAGGACTATAGCCTCTACCTGTTTCCCACCAACAGTGTGGACTCCATCTCTGAGTCCCTTTGCACTAATAGATGAGTTTTGTCTTATCTTGCCAACGCTTCCTCCTTTCCCTGTTTCTACTTCTGCTTTATGTGTTGGGTCTCCATTAGAAAGTAAACTCCTTTCTTGTCTGTGTTTGTATCTCTATCACATAGCACAGAACCTGGAATATAGCATTTAATAAATTTTTCTCCTTCCTTCCCTCTATTCTTTCTTTCCTGCCTCCCTCCCTTCTTTCCTTCCTATCTACTTATCTACCTATCATTTATCTATCAATCTAGGGGTAGGGTGTGGGCATAGATGAGTATTGAGAAGGGAGGGGAATTTGGCTCACTCCACATAAGCAAGTGCTATATAAGCAAGGATTAGAATTTATGGCATTATTTTTAATAGGTATGGTAGTATACCTTAAGTGCTTATACTGTAAGTAGTATACCTTTGACCAGTAGATCAAAGAAATTATATGATGATTAGTTAAGTAACTGGTGAACAGCTATAGAACACACTATGCTGACTGCTGTGTGTTGTAACAAAAGGCATAAAAATATCGCTAATATTATAGATCAGCAATTAAAATGCTACAAATGTGGGTTGGTAAATAAATTAACAAAGTACTATTCCAGATGGACTTGCGACAACACACCACAAGTTTGGTTGTTTTATACAGCTATGACAGTATTGAGACATATTCTTTTAGTTGTTCTATTTGGTAAACAGCTTCCTGAAGAAAATTAACAAGCAGGTAGCTATGACAGAAATGCTTAGGCAAATACAGAAATTAGACTGCATAAAATCTATTATTTCTTCAACCCAGGTAATTTCATGTAAGGTAGGCTGATATTTTACAGGAAGCTAGATGGCACAATACAGAGATCCCTGGATTTGGAGTCAGGAAGACCTGAGTTTGAATTTTGCCTGAGACACTTACTAACTGTGTGATCCTGTACAAGTAGCTAAACTCTGTCACTCTCAGTTTCCTCAACTGTCAAAAAAAAACCTATACAAATACTAGCTCTTAATATTTCTTATCATCTTGATTTAAGGGTTCTAATCAATTGAAGTTTTACTTTAAAGTCTTGCATTTGTCATTTTTAAAGCTATTTAAACATATTTTTATGTTTAGTATTTTTAAAATTTATCCCAATAATCATTCACATAGTAAATGGCAAAAGTTTAATGACAATTAAATAATGGATAATGAAAGACATGGTGGAAAGGGTGCTGGATTTGGAGCCAGAGGACCTGGGCTTCAATCCTGGCTCTATTACTTTCTAGCTGTGTGACATATGAAAATTGTTTCCTTTCTCTGAGCTGTAGTAGTCTCTATAAAACGAGAGGATTGGACTCTATGATCTTTAAGATACTTTTTTAGCTCTAAGTCCCATCATCCTATAAACACTTCCAACGGTGCAGAGCTCCTTTTTGATAACATCTAGACTAGAAATATCTTCAGACTACCAGCCCAAGACTGCACTGGATTTCTATTTCTTCCTACTGTAACTTAGCTATACTGGCCAATTTGAAGTCTCATCAACTTTCACATAAGCTATTGAAAAAATTTTTTTTCTGTTTTTTTCATAACTATATTTTCTCTTTATTGATACTTTTTGTTTTTACATCACATTCATTTCCAAATACATTTGCTACCCAGTGTGACATACCTTTTAACAAAGACCAAAAATATAGAAAAAAAATTCTGCTAAACTAATTCACTGGCAGCATCTGACAGTATATACAATATTCCACCAGACGTGGAAAAAATATTGCAATAATGAAAGGGAGGTACCTTTCTCAACACTTTTCCAGAGTGACAATTATTATAATTATGCAAAGTTCAGTTTTATTTGTATGTTCTTTTTATTTATATTGTTGTTGTCATTGAATATCTTGTTTTCTTGGTTCTGCTTACTCTATATCAATTTCTATAAGTATTCCCATATTTCTTTTACTTCCTTATATACAGTACATAATTCTTTATGATGTAATATTTCATTACTTTCATGTATTGCATTTTGCTTAGACATTCTGTGATGGACATTTACTTTGTTTCTATTACTTTGATACCACAAAAAGTACTGTTATGAAAATTCTGGTCAAATAAATAAGAAATTTTTTCTATTATTGGTCTCTTGGAAGGTATGAAACTAGTAGTGAGATCTCTAGGTCATGGGGCATTTTAATCACTTTTCTTTTTTAGCATAATCCCAAACTGCTTTCCAAAATGACTGGGACAACTCATAATTCTGCCAGTTGTATGTCTAAGAGCACGGGTGGGAAACCTTCAGCCTCGAGGCCACACGTGGTCCTTTAGGTCCTCAAGTGCAGCCCTATGACTGAATCCAAACTTCACAGAAAGAATCCTTTTATTGAGGGGCGGCAGGTTCCCCACTCCTGCCTTAAGAGTACCCCTTCCAATGCTGACTATT